ATACCGAATGTCTCGTTATACCGAATCGTGGATGCCTCCCCCGACACTTCGGTATAACGAGGTTTGACTGTAATTAACTGTTCATTGTTCCGTTGCGCTAACTATAATAATAACGTTTTGGATGCTATCTTACTTCCACAGTGGGGATCTCTGTGAGCACTTAAGAGTAACTGTGAAACATGACCGACCTGTGGTCCGACTTTGACTTTCGGCTTTTTGTTTATCCACAAACCCGTATTAAAGCCTAAGCTACTTTTTGGTACTTGACGCTATTTTGCTGACACTGAGACTACTACGATAGAGACCTTTCCGGGAAAAGGACGTTCATGTCGCAACTGTCTGTTTGCAGGCCAACGAACTTTTGTGGCAAATAGATGCATATTCAAATGATATTATCCTGTCAGGGCGGATGGAAAATCACGGTCACGGACTATATTAATGTTCTGGAAAACCACACACTCTTATACGAATTCTCTTGAAAATAAAGAGAATATAATTTTTTCGAGAGGATAAGGCACCTATTCAACCCTCCATATGTGTACGCCTTACCTGTTCCCAAGCTCGGGAATTAGAGATGAATGCACGCCTTCCATATCTGCATTGACAGTTTTTTCCGCCTCCTATTACTATTGTATCCTATGCACGCCCGTGATTTGCAATTGTGTTACATCGAATGTCTAAATTTAACATGAAAAGAATAAGAAATCCAACAAGCCATTGTGATTATCAAGAAGCTTTATCTTAATCTTTGTAAAAATTTTCTGAAGCATAAAGATGCACGCGCGCTTTAACAATGCCTGAATAAAGTTAACGCGTTTAATAATAAGTAATGGCTGTACACACAGAAACGTCAATTGTGTCTTGACAAGGTAAAGGAGGAAAAACCCACAGCAATGAATAGCAAATTTATAATATCACATATTAATATCAAGTAATTTATGTTTAGATGCTTTGGCTTTTTTATGAAGATGTTTATCATTATTCCAACCTGTGTTACAAGATTCTTTGAATGAAAAATAAACTGTCAGTAATTAATAACAGCTTTGTTGCTATAATAATAATAAATTCAAGTCAATGAAAACAAACTTACGCCATGAATCAAGAATGTTTTACATAATAAACCAACACCTGCAACACTCTCATCTGTTGCAGGCAATACCTGTCAGCGATTTTTCTTCGCGAGGCGGCTGCGTCCCCTCACCGTGACAATAGGGCCCTGTAGTGTAGTGATGAGGTCACAACTTAGCCAACTTATTATATTATTCAAGTATCTATTTTCTCACATAGCTACCAATTATTTTTTCGAAGAATAATTTCATTATAGCTAGACGAATGGTTTATGTTGACCATTATGATCCATGTTTCGTATCGCAGATTTACAATAGGTTCACATGTCGAACATATCTTAGGCAATAGATATTCTCCACCAGCCTTTCTATACTATTCGCAATATTTATCAATATATACTATTAAATAAGAAGTACAACATTTTTAATCTCTTAATTATAATGGTCTATTAATTTTCGTTAATTAATAACGTCGCCGTTTTCTCATACGGAAGAAATACTGTAACGAATTAATTATTAACAATGTATTTATAAAATTTGATTAACTTTTCACATAAAATGTTTAATTCGTACACATGCTATATCGTAGATATTATTCGTTAGTTTCTGCCGCACATTAAACTCTTATGGACTTTTTCATCAAGAATATCCGCATTTCGCGTCGTGTCTCTATCACACTCTATGGCTCCGATACTCTACTAATATTTTGGCATAGGTTTCCCCCTCATTAACGAAATAATTAATCATATTTTAACTTAAACGATAAAGTCACAATATATTCACAATGATAATTGATTCACAGTAACTTTATTGGATCGAACGAGTATATTAAACTCTCGTGTTATACGTCGTCTATACTACCAACACCTTTTTTGTACTAAACATAAGGTATTGAAGAAGATGAGGATGCTAATCTACGAGAAGTCGCTGTCTTATAATCACAGTCTTTCTAAAGTGAACACTTCCCTTATTAGTCGTCAAGAGATTACGCAAAGCATCGATAGACGAATGCTCAGCAACTTGCTTATTAGTCGATAGCTACATCAAAGCAATTCAGAGTATAATAATAATAGCCGAATACTTCTCATGCCATCTCTAAACGACTCTGCATACACGTTTATAAATACAGTCATGTTTTACAAAAAAATGACAGTGGTATGATTCGTGTTACTGCACCAATTCCTTGACGGATCTACTTACAAAGACGGGTTTCATCTCAAAATCGATCAAAAGATGTCTTGTACGTCAACTGGCCAGTTAATCACAGCAAAGTGGTTGTAAAGTACTCGAATGGTTTACTACAAAGAAGAGATCCAAGTACGAGAGCCGCATGCATTTAAATCAAATCATCAACATTGTTTGCGTTGCGACACGATCTAATAAAATTGTTAGGTCCGATTAAAGTAAGTGAAGGTGAAAATACACTAATAAAGTTGAGAAAAAAGGCGTTCGTCAAATACATAGACGTAGTCTGTTTCACATTTCGCAGAAATACTCGTGGGGAATTGGCGGAGAACTGGAACAGAAGGATATTGACATAATGGTGCTATCGATAAAAACGACCAGTTGACCGAGACCTCTCAAGTATTACGCTCAACCATTATGGTTCGAGGTGGGGCTCTGCTTAATTTTTATGCAACAGACAGTGAGTACTGAATACAAACTTTTCAAACAAATATCATTCACACTCTCCAAGGCGCATTCTGTCATACGTTACTGTGATCTAAGCTGCATTCTATACAATCTCATAATAGTGCAAAAGTCGTTGGAGCTCATCACACTCATTGGGTCCATTTATCTCTTCAATTTCTGATAATATGTCCTGAATAAATAATAAATCTCAACTGTCTTGGAGAAATCAGGCTTCGCTTCTTAGTAGTACTATTAGCGTTTTTGTATGCGCCTGAGCTTCAAGAAAATGGAAGAGTATCTTGTATGCCTTCTGACCTCATGTTCAATATATTTTCGACAAGGGAACTCTTCCTCTGATAATATATTTGGATTGAACTATCGCATTATGTAGCATATTGTCTAGTCAACCATGGTAATTGCAAATCATTTACCGAAAAGCTTTCCACTAGCCGGGTCGCAGGATTCAAAAAAATCGCTCTTGTCAATATCCCCTGAGATCGTAACTGTGATACGGTACATCTAGCTTTTCATTCACGGCTTCGATTCGGCTTTGAGCGCACCGAGATGTGCTTTCATCAGAATCAGCGAGAAAACAAGTTTCGTTCATCTGATTCTTTGTTATCTCACATTTTATTGACTAATGGGTAATCACTCACTTACGGCCCAGTAGGTGGCCAGCGAACAAGTGGATTAGTCGATGGTAATATTTGTATTTCTCTTAATTTCTCCAGCTGTTCCCTTGCGAAATTTGGTGTTTTCGTACAAGCGCCCAAACAATCTCGGATTTTACGACTATTGTAGATTGCCCAGACTGCTCAATCTGAATAAAGAACGTTGATATCTTTGCTAACGCCACTACCTAATGCCGTTGGAGTAGAAAAGCTGTGATTAATACTTTGGCGACAACAAATCATATCACGCAAATGCATTATCACCTTACACGTAATACGACTTTCTGTCTTATGGCACGAGCAACAAATTTTTCGGCCAACTTGAACATAGCTTCAGCTAGTTCTGTATCTTTGATCTAAATACGCGGATTTTCCTTAATTTGCGACAAGCGGTTTAGTCATAGAACGAGGTAAAGCATGCCATAAATCTTCATCCATTTTAACTTATTTGCACTGGGCGTTCTCAAGTGGTAGATCTTTGGCTAGTTTTCCGACTGTCTGTTTAATAAGTTTTTCATTTGTTAAAGTTAGAGGTAAACAAGAATAAATTCTTTTGTCGGATAGACATCTAGCGAGAGGCACTGTAGCTTTTCTGTACATCTGTGATACGACATTGAGTGCACTCTGAAGGTCTCCTGCCTCCCGCGCAAGCCTGTAGTACAAACATCATATACTTTTCTTGTCGGTTGAATATTATTTTGCTTCGTCTGAATGAAGGTTGAAGCAACTGACCTAGATCGGATTTCGAGATATGATCGAACTTCTGGAGAAACTCTTCCTGTTCTGCACGCTGAATATCAGGTGGATTTAAACACATTGGGAGTGTTTGCAATTGCAGAAACTAATCTCGTTGTCCTGTGGATTGTACAAGCCATGAATTGCATTTAAATATTCTGTGACTGCTCGAATACAATCGTATCTCTCTATTCAGTCGACCTACCCACGGCCCAGTGACTCTAAGGAGGGGTGACTGTATAAAGGGATCATTGATGGTCATGTGATTAGTTATTTTGTAAAATAAGATTCGATTTTGAGTTCATTCAAGTTTTTTGAGACTGAGCAGGTTCAGATATTTGGCAATAGCTTGGTTTAGTTTACCCACAGTTCCATAGCTTTGTTCAATTTAGGATACTTAGCAGAATGTGTGCTAGGGTCCTGTTTTGTTGAAGCCATTTCTCTTTTTTGGATAGAATTTTGAGCGATTCATGTTAAAATTATATTTATTATTAAGGCAATGTCTGCATGGTTCAAGGTCAAATTTTGTTTCGCGTATTCACAAGTTTCGCGTTTATTGTCAATACTCAATTGAACTCTTTTTTGGTTGATGTTATGAGGACATTGTGTAAAGATTATTCACTACAATATAGTAAATTGGTTTAGCCCTGTGACTATCACTATGATGTGACTGTATAGTAATAGCATACCTGCGGGCGACCAGCTCTACCAAATATCTGCATCACGTCAAGAACTGACAAATCTACGAAAGTACCTTTTGTGGAATCGTACATTTGAGTTCCTTTAATTACAACTGCGTATTAACTCCCCAAGCGAGGGTAGAGAATCAAATTGTGACTATAAGCCAATGTGACTGTAGGGGAGGACGGATAAATCACATGATGGTAGTAACTTTGATAGGCCATTTGCATCAAGCGATAAAAATATCATTTTTTCTCTAGGGATGTCGTGGAAAGGGCTCATTTCAAAGAATTTAAAAGAGCTAAGAATTCATTTCTGCCAGAAATCAAACACTAGCGACGGTGTTAGGTGAGCTTAAATATCAACAATATGAACAGTATGACAATGTTTAGTTGAGAATGGGAACCATGAGCTTTTCCTTTATATAGGGAATTTCTTAAAGAATCATATCCAGAGTTGAAAAGGCAGAACCCGCATTTCCCTTTCCTTGTAAGAGAAGCTGCTGGAGTAGAAGCACGTTTTTTTGCTCGTTACGGTCAGTGTTATGAGCGCGCATGCATGTTGCGTTTGTTGAACTTATATAAACGATTGATAGCTATCTTGTTTTATATCTCATAGATTATGGAATAGAGAAGAAAGCAGTTCTTGATAATTTATCGGCAAAGGATGTAGAAGCTGAACTGGAAAAATTGGTCAAAGAAACGTCTTAACTGAGGTACGGTCGATCGAACGAATTCACATTGCTAAATATTTCATCTATTCAGCTTGGATGATTTATTTGCAAGTTTAGTAACGTAACCGATCATATTTATTAGTAATATTAACAAGCTCTAGCGTACAAAGACCACTCCCGATATATGAAGACAAAACTCGACTGTTGTAGAGGATTTCTCAACATGCTAAATATAGTGCTGTAAATGGGAATGATAAGAATGAAAATGCTTTCGGAACTTGTAAAGAGCTAAGGGTTCGTCGTTCTGATTGCCTGAATTATCTGGCTCTACCGGTTTCCTTTCTACATGATTAAAATTGTGATTGTTGGATGAGAATATAGTATTGTAAAACGCGAACTTTTTTAGTTGAATAAATGTTCGTTGTTTGTCCGAGAGATAAGCTTTTAACCACTTTGGAGGTTTTATGTGAAGTGAATAAGCATACAGTGCCGGCTCACGGCCACCCTAATTAATCATGAACAGTTACCACAGCCAGATGACCATGGAATACTAGCGCGAATTTCAGCATAGGCCAAATGATGGAAGACTTAAGCATGCCCTAAAAATAACTATTTAACAATATCTTATAAAAATACAAACTATGCATTGTTGTGAATAAAAGCCTCGCGATGGAAGTATTCGTTCGAATATGCATTAGCAAAATATCAGTGTTTTTATTGTACTCTTTAGTGGTCTGAATTTGAAATGGCCAGACCTCAGTAATTATGTTATTGTGATGACTAAAGTTTCTGGAATAATACATACATTAGTTTTGCTATCCTCCGAAAAATAAAGTGGTGCTTATTATTATTATGAACGTGTGATGTACCGCAAATTAATAATTGTAAGTTCTTCGAATATTCTGGCTTTATCGTTTATCACATGACAAATTAAGGTCTAAATTCTCGTCATTGACCAATAATAGTGGAAGACTTGCTGTAACAATCCATTGACATAATAATAAACAAAAATCACGGATTTCGGCATTCTTCTGACTAGCAATTATATATCTTAGACATACTCGCAATCCATCAGACAAACTTTTTGCAGCATTGTGTGTTTCGATGCGACGTGGAAACACTATCAATGGCGGCATAGCCTGTATTGCATAACTTATCAAAAAGCTCGCTGACCTTTCATTACGCTCACATCAAAAAACCCACACCCGAGCTTTCCTTTTTGTTATGTTCTCCGTCATTGTAAATGTTTTGAACTAGCACTCGATATAGACATTTACAATGGTGTTCAAAAAAAATGGCACGATCAAATTTTTTTCTAACTCATCACATATCAATATTGCTCCAAATAATATGATTTAGACTTTATTTGAAAACTTAAAAGAAGCCGATTATATGGCTGAAGCAAAGAGACTGGTCTTCCCTTTTCCACAGAAACCACGCCATTATTTTGCGTCAATCTTTCGGCATTGGACGTATTGACCTTGCCCCTTTATGCTAATATTATTACTAATGTTTAATTGTGTTCCGAAACAATTGGAATGATATTTTATCAGTGAAAATTGTCCGTTTCCAATTGTCATTTAAGTGGTTTCTGGCCCATATTACCCCGATTTTCTTTGTTAGCATTGGAGTGGTAAGGGGAAGGTTATTTTATAACCATGTTCAGCCAAATGACGTCCTACAGTTATGCGAGAGACCACAGTTCCTTTCTCCTTTAACTTACTCGCCAATTCTACGAGCATCAATATTACTTGTAATTTTTTTGCGACTATTTCCCCCTCTGTGCTTTACATCTCTTTTTCTTTTAATTTTTTTTTAAGTTATAATAGGGGCTTCGCGTATTCCCTTCTCCCAATAATATAACATCGTTTGTCGTTTGTCGTTTGTCGTTTGTCGTTTGTCTTTTGTTAACGGACTGAGACTTTTACACTTTTGTTTTGAGTAAAGCGCGAAATAAGTTTGTTTGTAAATAATAGTTTTGATCCATTGATTTTACGCGTTTATTTTTGGAAATTGACCGAGTTACACATGTACAAATTATTTGTATATGTATACTGTATTAGGAATCCTGATCAGTTAACATTTCTTTGCGTGGGATTTTTTTTGACTCAACGATTTAGAGATGTGAATTAATGGGGGATTTAAAGGGTGGCAAGCCCAGTACGTTTCTCACGTTCAGAAACATTAGGTTATCTTACATGTGCCATATGAAACCTAATCATTTCAACTATTCCTGATTAAGGGATAATAATTTTCATTCGGCCTTCCCGAACAAAAAAAGAAAAAAGAACCTTCAAAAATCTAAAAGGAGAGTCATCAGCAGGCTAAACTCCCCGAAGCCGCCGGACGCGTGTGGTTTCAATTGACAAGCCCAGAAACCTTTTTGCGATAAAAGGCATTTTCACGGTAAGAATATACTGACATGGAATATGTACATACAAATAAGTCCTGCTTATTCGTTAGTTAACCGTGACATTCAGTGACGGCGAAGCGTCGTATTGGGTGGAAAAATTGGTCAGAGCTCACCCCACATGGAATCTATTCCATCGGAATAAATAGGTGAGAATTCTCACTAAGTACTTGTTTTATAGTTATTGTATCCGAGTTAAGCACTCAGTTGATTTGTTCATGGATATTCAACTGTCGCCCAACATATGCCATCCGGTTAGGATTAGGTTAAATAGTTATTCGGTTAAAGAACATCCTGGTTTGCACAACATTTCAATTTATTTACAACATATTCTAAGAATGATATTACAAATTGATTTAATTAAGAACATCAAATTTAATTGCTTTTTGCCAGCATTCTTTCTATCTCAAACATAGCAATCCCTCCAGCAGCACTTATGTCCATTTTAGAGACCTCTGGTTTCATAGGTATGGTAATATACCATACATTAGGCCTCTTTTTATCACTTGGTGTTACGAGTTGGTTTAACAATGGTCGCGGTCCGGTGACTGATATATACGTAGCAATCTTTTTAGGAAAAGGTGTGTCAAGATCACGAGGTAATGTCCAGAACAAAAGATTCGAATCATCACTAAGCTTCCTTGGTGGCGGGTTTGATTGATTAACTGGTAGTACTTGAACAACAACAAGACTGAGATCATTCTCAATTATTAGATTATACAATTTCTCGTGGTTGCCACTTATATGAGGCCATGTTATCGAATGGAACCCACTAAATCGCTGAACAAAGTCGTCGTATACATCACAAGTCTTCTCACCCATAAATGATCCATCATATCCAAGTGCTTTCGCTGTTCTTATCAGAGAGCCAACATCTGTCGCCTCGTTGACTCCATCCATGATTAACAGTTTATTTAATTTTTTATCAGTAGGGAGCGGAATATTAGGGAAAGAAATTTCGGCAAAAATTTCGTGATCCTCTGGTCTTGATGCAGTTCCCAACACTTTCCTTGTCATATCAATGCTGATCAGGTAGTATTGATCTGCTGGTATTTGATGAGGATTCTTGATGAAATCCAATGCTGGCGGTTGAATTTCGTATTTTGTTTTAGGTCTATGCGGAGCAGTTATATATAAATTAGTAATCGGGATACCTCGTTGATGTAGAGCGCGAACAGGCGCTTCGCCTTGAACAGTAAGCTGTTTCATTTCTTCTCTGTATTGACGGTTCTCACGAAGTTTTTGGAGATGAAGAATTTTTGGATTTGTAACACCGTGCACTCGAGCAAGTTCTTCGGGATACTCATGATTATATTCGAACTTCGCTCGCCACAAGCGACGAGCTTCAATGGTTTCCGGATCAAAGTCCATTTTATTGCTTTCACCCAAAGCTGCTTTCTTACTTCCTCGACCCTTCCAGCTATAAACTTTGGGTTCTGGTGCCTTTGACAAGTATGGATCATCTTTCTTTTTCCGGTCGATCCGTTCCTCCGATTCGTGGGATTTGAATTGGTCACTCCATTTTCTTCTTCGCTCTTCTTTATCATTAAACTTAAAGCGGTCATCGGATCTTCCTCTTCGTTCTTCTCCTTCATCGGATTTAAATCGGTCATTTCGTCTGCCCCGTTCTTCTCCGTCATTATATTTAAAGCGGCCGCCCCACGCTTCTCTTCGGTCTTCTCTTTCACTAGGTTCATCGGATTTAAATCGGTCATTTCGTCTGCCCCATTCTTCTCCGTCATTATATTTAAAGCGGCCGTCCCACGTTTCTCTTCGGTCTTCTCTTTCACTAGGTTCATCGGATTTAAACCGGTAATTTCTTCTGCCCCGTTCTTCCCTGTCATTATATTTAAAGCGGTCGTCCCACTTTCCTTTTCGGTCTTCTGTTTCACTAGGTTCACCCACCCTTTCTCTTCTTTCTCTATTATTAAATGTAAACCGATCATTGAATCTTCCCCTTCGTTCTCCTCCCTCATTAGCTGGAAATCGATCATCCCATGTTCGACCGAGCTCCATGTGATCGTCTTTTTTTTTCCGGTCAATCCGTTCTTCTGATTCATAAGATTCAAATTGGTCACTCCATTTTCTTCTTCGTTCTTCTTTATCACTAAACTTAAACCGATCATCGGACCTCCCCCTTCGTTCTTCTTCGATATACTTAAAACGATCACCCCACCTTCCCTTTCCTTCTTCATCAGATTTAAATCGGTCATTTCGTCTGCCCCGTTCTTCCCTGTCATTATATTTAAAGCGGTCGTCCCACTTTTCACTTCGATTTTCTCTTTCACTAGGTTCACCCATTTCCTTTCTTTCTCCTCTATTATTAAATGTAAACCGATCATTGAATCTTCCCCTTCGTTCTCCCCCCTCAGTAGCTGGAAATCGATCATCCCATTTTCGACCGAGCTCTGTGTTATCGTATTTTTGGTATAGTATGCTGTATTTTGTCACTGAGTGAAAGTTTCTAAATTTGATCAAGGCATATCGAATCAATCGCTTATTTGTGCAATATTTCTGCATTACGGACAAGTCGTAAACCGCATGTAACAAACTATTTGGTAAGGAGGAGGTTATGCGGTAATCAGGAGGTGCTTATCCACGAAAGACATGGTGATTCGGATTATCAAAAAAAATTTTAAAAAATTAGATTCACGTGGAATTATCTCCCGCGCGATAGAAAGTACACAAAGATTTTAACAGGTAGAGAAGGTTTATTGAGTCACGGGAAACCCAATGAAATGCTTAGTATAGTAGTCAACCAGGATGCGTTTATAGGTCAAAATTTTTATTGGTCATGGTAGCGCACGTTTGTCGGCAGTCACATGAATTTTTCTCATCAGCTCTGACTCTCATTGGGTGGCCGCCAGTGGCGCAAAATTGTGCTTATCCCTACCAAATATGGGGGTAGGCTAAAGCGGAGTAGTTTATGCCACACAGCAGGTGCCACAAATTGACCAAGTGCCACAATCAGTATTGGA